CCCCCCCCCCCCCTCCCCCCCCTGAAATGTAGGATTTTAAGACACTTAAACTTGAAAAAGGCAAAACGAGCTTCAAAAAAATGCAAAAAAGGCATATATTTTTTAATTTTGTTATGTACTTCCCTTATGTACAATGTGAAGGTCCAATTAAAGATATAAAAAAATACATACAGTGGTCAAAAAATTATAACCAAACCACTTTTTGCCAAGTTTTCACGTATTATATTTGTTGTTATTGAACTTTTGTTATATTTTTTAATAAAAATATAGTTCCGTTCTTTCACAAAACCCGTGGAAATCCATGTTTCCAAATTTGAGCAGTCCACTTGCAAAGGCGCTATGAAAATTTTTTTAGATTTTTAGTTTTTGGTGAGTAACGTACCAGTATTTAAAGTAGTTTCATGTCCACTAACAATGCAGTGCAAAATCTTTCTATTTTCTGAAAAAATAGCATCAAATGTTAACTACTATTGCAAAAGTCGCTATAATACTTATTTATCCATCTCCATCTTCTGATGAACTTAGAAAACTGCAAGAAAACGTGATAGTTTCGGTGCCTAGTGGAAGGCGTCGTAAAAAAGAAGCAGACCAATCTTCATGGAAGAGCGAACGCGAAAAGCTAAAAAAAGATAGCTATTATTATTATTTATGGATCACTATTATAAAATCACATAACGCTGTTTGCAAGTGGACTACACATTTGTGCAATATTAAAAAAAAAAATTCAACAAACTTTCGTACAAATTTCGAACTTTCAAAAATTCTAAAAAATCAATCGACATTTTTAGCCCTTTGAAACGTGTACTTTATTGTACTAGAATTCAATGTGCTACAAAACTGCATACTCAGAATTTAATTAAAACACTCGAAATTTTAACGAAAATTTGTAGATTTTTTTTTAATTGCATAAATTTTTAAGGCAGTGTCACTCGATTGGTACATTTGTACAGATTTGTAAATTTTTATATTGGGCTATTGGTAAAAAAAAGTGGGACATTTTTTTTGCATTCAAAAGATTGGTACAATACAGCGATGTTCTATTGAAAAATTTCAATAAATTAATTTTCGTGATTGGGATAATGAAAAATATTTTGGGTGTTCAAACAATTGGGATACGATTTACACCAAATTTTAGCAAATACCCAATCGTGTGACACTGCCTTTAAACTTGTATTTATACGGATGTTAGTAAAGAACGAACTATAAAAAACTAACCGAAATT